AGGTAGGGATAATCGAAACGAACTCTTAGAGGTTTGACCGGAAGGGGCTGCATATTAGGTGTACTTATCAAGGATGGGCACAACTGGTCTTTGATGGGTAGATTCACCGACGAGTTCACAGTTGTGCTTTCGAAGCTAGAGAAGCGATCAGATAATCCGTCACTTTCAAGATTGCTAACGCATGTTCTTTCTCAGTCTCGCGCTCATTCATTACATTTGGAGAGTGCTTTCACGATGCGATAGGTAATCTGGATAACTAGTTTAGTAAATTATCTGTATATGCCGAAAGACTTGTCGGAAAATATTGCAAATCCCTCATTACTTAATTGCTATAGACATTCATTATCACAAACATGTGCACGGAAGCCACCACCGCATTCGATACTAGGAGACGGGACCGAGATAGGGAGAATACATGTTGGTCACCCACACTTTTAAAGCTACAAAAAATGACAAGAACTGGATAATGTCTTTATGAAGTCGACTGCAGTGCTCAAGGCTTAAAACGGTGCACGTATAGCGAAATAGTTGTAAAAGTAGAGATTGCACTGTTGCAGTATTCGAGCACTAAAGAAACAAAAAGTAACAACGAGCCGGCTAAATAGATGCATCAATGATCGGACATATGAGAAGGAAGTGCGGTTATGGGAAATTGTTATTTAGACTTGATATGGGCTACGGAACTCTATCTACCTGAGTTTACTTAGACTTGACTGCAAGAATTTCATTTATCGCTGAGGAAATACAAAACACGAATCATTAAAAAAGGCAGATGGGGTCATGAAACGAATGTTTTGCTGATAGATCCATTTTTGCTAATGGTTTGCTAGCAAATTTCGGAAAGTGCTAGAGATAAAATAAACGTACCAATTCACAGTTGGTTTCACTTTTCTGCTTATGAGATGTACACATGAATTCCCAGGGCAGTAAATGTTCCAGAGAACTAGTAAGAGCTGTACGTCAGAGATTGTGATCTGTACGAACACGGATTTCGGTAGAAGGCCGCCTGCTGATGCATTTACTAAACGGTTACACAGATGCATATCTCAGTGGGTTAGAAGTCGAAACGGGATTTTCGTGTGCAAGAGATTTGGAAATGTGTCAGAGGAGCCCCTACACTGGTGGGAGGTTTATGAACGTATGATTCAAATGGGGTAGAGTAAGCACGGCTTGTGTTACTGGCCTCATCTAATCTTGGTAGTAACGTTGACGTTTTCAATAATTGCAACTAATGAAGGCACCTGATAATCACACTGGACAGGACGGCTGGTATTCTAGAACAGTGACGACAACATGGATAAAGGGTTCGGTTTCATCTTTCTCTGCAGGAATGAAATAATTTGTCGCTGACTTCAGGATGAAACAATAGGAACGGACACGAGAACTAAAAAGAAGGGCATAGGAAATACAACGGTATAGTTCAGCTAAACTGTAAGTAATTAACTGAGTCACTTCTGATGACTGCCAATTAGTACCGCCTCCCAAATTGATGTTACTGTAGCCAGAGACCTATGTGCGACTCATGGTTAGGACTAGGACTCTAAAATTAGGTATGATAAAGAAGTAGGTCGGGTTTCAGTGACAGGAAATAGGAACTAATCGGGCGTCGACGCCGAAATGGCTGTTGACATCGTGTAGAACTCTTCGAATAGGAATCTTCCATTGGAGCCGGAATGTCTTCATATAGTTCTTTTATCACTTAGAATGTCAAAACTGAATGAACGCATGGTTCCTTCGAGAAAGAACGTGATATAGATAACTCTCAGCTAGTGAGAACACTCATTTACTCACAACCATTAGCATAATCATAGCGAAGGTATTAACCGTTGGATTACCTTCGCTTGCAAAACTGTTGTTTCGTGTCGATTTAGTGATTGTCAAACGGCGACCGACTGTTTCAACACACACAAATCATTATTAGGTCGCGACAGAGTTTTCAACAATTAATCAGTGAGAGCATAACGCTAAAATGTTATTCACGCGACAAAAGAGATCGGGAACTTCTGGACGATGAAGTGGAAGGCTCATTTCCTTAGGTCGAGTTAGGATGCCACGGCCGAAATTGATGGGCTTTCTGATATTACAAAATGAGCTCTACTACATGTAGGAGAAAATCAGATAACATAAATCAACTCGTAGAAAGCGGCGTGGACACTTTAAAACTTTTATTAACATGTCTGTATAGTAAATTAGGAAGCCGATTCCAAAATGACAACTGGTTAACATTAGAGGATCCCGACTACGAGTATTGCTCCCACAGAAACCAGGAAACCTCCACTTTTTGGAAATCGCCTGTCTGAAATGGACAAAGAACTACTCCGTTATCACCCTTTTCGAGGAATCGCATGTCATCCTCTGGGTCATCCGAGACCGTGGATTTACCTTTCTTTCAGTTGTACTTCACATAACACCTTCCTATGAAAAAAGGATAGGCAGTAAATAGAAGTTAATACATTGTGATTTCGACTGCAACTTCACCTTAACTAGGTTCAATGCCGATTTGTGCACCGCAGATCATTTCCGTTGACGGGTGATTGCTGATGCTACCGCAGAGAGAAACGCAAATAATGGTATCGGTTGATATAGTGGATAACGAGTGAAGCCCAGAAAGAGTAGTCGCGGGTTAGAAGTGCATCTAAGGTTCCGGGTTTTGCTCATATTCCAAAATCTTTGTGGTTGTTTCGTTATCACTTCGTCCATGGAAATCATTTTGCAACTGTAACTAAACAACTGAGCAGCAACTGCAGCTATTCTGCATTGAGTTTATAAACAGAATATGAATAGTTGCACACCTGAATGGAACCGACTAGCGCTAGATCTCTTTTCATTCAATTACTCATCAAGTTAAATATGTTTTAAGGTTCCTATGCTTCACTAGTTAATCGCTCCCGCAATGGTCTATCGCTAATTGGTGGCTGAGTGTATTCTTCTTCGGTTCGAGCTGCGATGTATAGTGGAAATTCATTCCCGGCAAGGTCTACCATGTTTTCAAAGTCGTTCAACATTTTCATCCAAATGACCATCTAAAAGCAAACCAGTTTCAGAAATCACTGAAATCCGTGGAATAACACTGTCAATGGCCGGCAGTGATGATGAGATGGGATAGCTCTAACACGGTATTCTAAACTCCAAGGAAGGAAAATTTTCTTCAGCTAGAGAATAAAAATCAAGTGAAACTTCTACCGACACATGAGCGATTCATTGTAATACCGTCCTGCTGCATCTTATTCCTTCTAGTGGGGTCTATTCCAATTAGAATAGTTTCAACTTCTTGGATTTCGGCTTCTGTTTGTTCAGTTTCATTGTTTGTCCATATTCGTTGAAAAACTGCAGTTGCTAAGTCGAAAGCTATTAACTCAAAAATAAAATTAATGATGTTTTAAAAAGGTAGTAAAGAACAAAGAATTCAGACAGAAGTTCAAATATTCTATGGAAAAAAAAACTTTTGAAGAAAGTGGAGGCATTAGTCACTGACGACGTCGATGTCATGACGTAAGCTGAGCGTCCTCGAACCACTATCTACAAAAGACCTACGGACTACTCCGTACGCCATGCTAGAGCTCGCTTATATTACTGAAGACCATCCGGCTTTCTTCATAGCGTTATGGTTCTTTTCTTTTACTTTTAAAAAATATCAAGTATGGAGTAGTGGGAAATTCTGGGAAAGGATTCATAGCCGCACAGCTGAAAGTTTGGGCATCGTGAGAAGGGAAAAAAGTGGGTGACAACGAAATAAATACGAAAGTGAATGAGGAAAGATGAAGAGAATGAATGAACCACAACGAAAAGCTTGCATAGAGTTGAAAGACGGAAAAATTAGGAAATCACAAGCGCCCGTTTACTGTATTAACAGTTGAGCACTAGACCCTAGTTCTCTAAGCACAGAAATTCTTTCCATCGTTTGTAATGTTAAATATTCTTCTTGTATTTAAATGAATTCAGGCAACTACCAGCAAGAACTTGATTGTTACTCCTACTGAATTTTATGGAACAAACTATATATTTCGTGGATCGGAAAAAATTTCCTTCCTAGTCCCTAAACGTCCAACTCAGAAAAAACCAGAATCCTTACCAGATTTTAGTAAAAACCAGAATTTTATTGTCTGACTACATGAGTAAAGTAAGGCACGGCTAATATCAAGAATGGTGTTTTTTTGCACTTAGATATTTGTCCCTATATAAGCTCATTTTCTGACCCCTTTCAAAGTATGGGTTCCTTAGCGTTTATATATTTATAGCCGAAAGTAAGAGTTGAGAGTTGAATAAACATTAGAGTGAAACTTCATTCACTGAAGGGTGAAAATCGAAGAAAGGACGGTCTCTATAACTACGAAGTTGGACTCATGAATTCACCACTTCAGTGTGGGCAACAGAATACTTGTAAGATGAAATGTAGCGAAAAGTGAAGGGATAGGAAGGTTGGATGAAATAGCTAAATAGCTATAACTATAGCTATAAATAGCTCAACTAATGAAAGTTAATTCATCAATGAGTGAACCCTAAGGCGTGATGTCTGTTTTGTCTGAAACAAGCTGAGACGCCTAACTGTAGTATGATAAGCAAGTCAAACATGATCAAAGAAGAAAGGAAACGAAAAAAATAAAAATTACACGAGAAGGATAAAAAAACGAAGAAGTTAGAAAGTTATAAACTCGAAAGACCGACTTTCTATTAGCCCCGCATAAATAATCGATATATTTATTTCTATGTTCTCACGAACCGTCCTTGTTGGTGTGAGGTTAGTAAACCTTTTACCAACCTCGTATCAGCCCAACAAGGGCAGTTCGTAAAAAAATAGAAACGTAAAGTTATAGTTAGGGAAAATTGCTAAGTGAAGAAAAAATAAGAGACAAGGAGTACACAGAGTGTACATTTCGCAAACAAGAGAATGGTGACGATTCTCCGAATTGCTTGCACTATAGTTGTGCTAATTCGTGTGAATTGAAGAGAATTTTGCTCTCAAAGAAACCCATTACTTGTCTACGAATGCCACTCGAGTATTACGCAAGAAACAATGTTGCAGAAGCAGCGTCTTCAACTGTGCTCGTGTGAACATGAAGAGGTCGCAAGTGTCGACGAGAACGGCGGAATGGAACAAGCCTAAGCCAAAAGACATTTCGTTTCGGAGACTAGAGGATGACATAGTGATGATGACAATTATGAGAACAATCCCATAGGAGAAATGAAATACATCGTAGAGGATGATCACATGGGGTGCAGTTCACTAATTGGTAAATGGAGTATAGTTTATGATTATTATTATTAAATATCTTGGTAGTTAATATGTTCTAAGGGGCGCGTGTGGCGCAGTGGTTGGAGGCGTCACTCCGACACAAACGTGGAATTGATCCCAGCACCCATGGCTTACCAAGCCTTCCATCCTTCCGGGGTCGGAAAATTGGTACCAGACTTACCTAGAGAGGATAGCAGCACTGGCCCAATACATTAGTAGGCCACCGCGAGTCATTGTAAAGTCCAGATAAGCATTGAATCACCTCCAACGATACTTAATGAAGTCAAATGCATGGCGCATCCCTCAGGGATTGATCAACACCGACAGCTTTATCCTTTTATCCTTTAATATGTTTTTATCGTTCTTTTTAGGGAATGGTGACGAGCATCAAAGCAGCACGCAGTGGACACTTCCCGATCTCTGCTGGTCCGTAGATATTCTGCTAATTTTTGACGGAGTTTTTTCATTTCGACGACACCCTCTTGCACATGTTAATCCTTCGGATAGAAATGAACCTTTCACCAGTTATCCGAAGATGAACTGCTTCTTGTTGAGAATAGCTTACTCCCAACGAGGAAATGTGGTTACGATTTGGAAAGGAGTCATCTGAGCACTGCTGTTCTTTGAAATTACTGTAGCAAAACAAATAGTTTAAATTTGGCGAAAAATAGGAAAATAAACTTTGTAGTTGAAGAACAAAGAAGCAATTACGCGAGCAATGGGATGTAAAGGCGCTTTCTTTTGAATTTTTGCGACTTTTTGAGCTACGATTCAACAGTTAACGCGTTGCTTTATGGGTTTAAGCTTTAATCTTACCGTAGCCATCTAGCTAGGAAGTCAACCAGCACGAAGAAAGGACTAACTCATCAACGAAACCTTTCCCGAGGGGCGGCCGGACGGTGTGGTGAAATGCTACTCCGCGGTGTTAGCTACCGTCTCCGTTGCTGAAATAGACATATCTACATGTCAAATCAGCTGAACGCAACACATGCTCAGGCTCTACTCATGTCCGTTTTGCTTATCTGTATTTTGCGTGTGCTCATCCCCCGAACATCATTCCCTGGGGTATCTTCCGTTATGATTCCGTTGAGACAAATGAGACATAGACACTCAAACGGCTCCAGGCTCTTACCGCACACTGGACCTCAAATCGCTCAACTCAATGATGAATGATGACACCATGGAAAGCGAGACAAAGCGATCCACGATAACTGAACGAAAAGGCTCAGCAACAGCCGGTGAGCCACGAATCGATCCTGCTCCATATTCGTTCACTGAACAATTCCATTCGTAAGACACATAAGGAAACATAAGTTTTGTATTGCAGTCGTTTCGACTACTTCGATCCCAATAAGACCATTTTGCAGCTGATTTATATTTAAAGAAAAAGCCTCCATGAAGTTGGACAATCATAAAGAACAAAGTACACATAAAAATTTATGGAATGCTTTAGCACTTCACCTTACTAGAAGAATCGTGGAGGTCCCTCAGTAGCCCAATTTTTGAAAAGAATAACTCATTCCTTTTAGGTAAAGTTTATCACGTAATCTTAGACTTACCAATTTTAAGAAACTTTTAAACAAACACGTCTACAGGTTCTTAAAGGAACATTTTAGGTGTTACAATAAGGAAGAGAAGTAAGGAGAATTTTGCATCAGAATAGATGATGGTAACTTTCTGCTACAAACACTCTAATAAGTTCAAATTGGATCGCAACTCCGGAATTCAAGCCTAACTGCAGTTTTTACCTATAAGGTTAGAACTGTAGACGAGTGGCAATAAAACAGTCCATGCAATTCCTTTGTGTTGGAAAGAGCAGAAAAGCATTGAGTCGAAAAGAAAGCAAGAGAGAAGGCAGCATCTTTCAACAGATCAATAGTTTATTTGATGATGAGAATCGTTCGAAACGCGTGAATTCGACATAAAATCGTCTCCATCCAGAATACATTAACATATCAGGCAGCAACAGCCAGCAAGAACGTCATACGTTATCCACTTCAGAAGTAGCGACGATTACAAGCCGTCATTGAACTGGCTGGCATAATGCCCTCATGAGGCAAGCTAGTTTAGCACCGCTGGAATATAAACTCACAACTAAATGTGTTTATATAGGCAACAGCCAGTGAGGCTTTCACCAACTGTTAACTGGTGGTTATGTTTACCCGATTGTCTCAACAGCGGGACGCCATGATGGACACTAATATTCTAACTAGTGCTATTAGGGACTAACCCGGCTAACCGACTAGTGCAACGAACTACCGTAGTTTGCCCCTCATTTTCAAGCAAACGATGAATGCTTTGCCAATGAGTTTAAATGATAAAACGACAATGAGACACAAGTGTAAGGAGAATAGTGGAATCCACATTTATAAAAGCCAACGTCTAGAAAACATAGTGGTAGTAGGTTCGGATCGCACCATCAGTGAGAGACAGAGTGCCTATTTTGAAGGACGATTATGTACGATAGCATGTGTAGTGGTTCGGGTAGCAGATTTTGACCTCATCGTGGTAATCAGAAAAAGTGAGGAGGCTGCGGAAAAAGTGGTGAAGAGAGCCATTGCACATCGACCTTCACGGATAAGAAAACACCGAATGGACACTACGAAGCGCGTACAGTAAAACACCCAAGAACTGCGGGTGTGAAATCGTTTAAAGCTTCTAGATGAATCTATCGCGACTGATACAGGTCCGTAGAAAACGAATACAGTGATGGTACGACAGAAGTTCATCGAATATTAATGAATGCATGTCAATGGGACAAATCAGCAACTAGACATGTTATGAGATGTTTTCAGAGATGTGGCCTAATATGAAAATAGCTCGAAGAACCCGTAGAAACGCTTATAGGATAATGAATAGCACAATTGTCGATCAAAAGTGTACCCACTATTTCACACATCCAGTACCACAACAGGCGGATACTTCCATAGTGAAATTAAAACCCTTTTTGTCCTTTACTCCGCGCACTCTGCCCTAACAGTCCTAGCGGATTACGAGAATACAATTTTAGTCCAAACTTTGCATGCGCAATCAAATAATCGAACTTGTTACGCTATTGGAAGTAATTCGTTGCAAACTCCTGTAATGCACGAAATATTGCATTCAATGTCGATGAGCACAAACGTCGGGCTTAAAAAGCAAACTGTGCCACCATTCAAATCAGAAATCCTTGGAATCTCCTTTCAAGTCGTTCAAGTGCTCGCAGTAAATTGGAGCAGTAAAAGTGTAAATTCCGATGTACTAATTATGTTCGAAGACTATTTGGAAAAATAGTCTGAACCAGGCACACCGAATATTCGAAAGTTCGACAGCGTGCAAAGTCGGTGCTGATCTCAAGCCGACTGACCAGACAACGGTGTCTTGTGTCATAGTGAGAAGGACGTGATCCTGATTGGGACGATCTAAACGCCGAGTGAATGTGAATGTAAATGGATCAAGGATTACTTGTGTGAAGTGCGCTGTGCCGACTGTGCCGCTCTACCGAATGGTAAATACTACAGTAACCCAATTTTTCATCACCCGCGCCGGAAGTACAACGCCACCACCACCACCACCACCACCACCACTCACTCACCCACACACCTACGCACATACACGCACGCACGCTGGGACACCTAACCGATCATATTTACCGACGATGACAAGTCCGATGCCTAACCGATTTACACATATACCGTATTACACCTAACTGTCACCAATACCGGGTTGTTATACGACAGCAGAGAGATTGGAGAAAAGAAGTTGTATGGAAAGGAAAAGGCTTCAGATGGAGATTTGAATTTGGAGATTATTTGTGAAGTTGCGCAACTTAGTAGACCAATTTTCTTATGGGAATATGATCATTTCAATGGGTAGCGCATGTCACGGATCACTCTGGATAGTAGGGGAATTTAAATGATATTGTACAAAATTACACGGCGTGGAAAAAAGCCTAAAACATTTCAATTAGCTGGACAAAAATCTGGTTAATCATTCGTCTTTTTGATACTTGTAAGAGTGCAATAATATGATGGGACCATGACAATTATCATGGAAACCAATAAACGTAATCATTGTAAAATTTCCATCCACTATCGCCTTTTAGAAAGCTTTTGCTTCATTCATTAGGTTTAACTCCTGGGTTTATGAGCGTCCTAAGAATAAAAGCAGTCGTACAGTTTAGACCTACATTACAATGGCTACTTTGCCAATGAATCGTTTATGGATAACAAGGGATAGATTTAGCATTTTAGTGCGAAATTTCTAGTACTGCTTTTCACAATGACTATGCTAGTCATTACTGCAATAGATTGGAAAAAATTTTGTAGAGAAAACTCAGAAGCAAGTAGATGTGAGCAATAAAGAGGAGAAGTAGTTCTACTAAGGAAATGTTGACGATGAGCTGACCTCGACCGACGTATCCCGATGGGAAGGGTTGATGAAGTTTGTGGAGGGTCCGGACATGTGGCAAGCATCAATAATCATAGTTAGTCATCGCGCGATTAGGAAAGGAAAAAAGATGGACGAATACCCACCCAAGCTTGATCGTCTAGCAGCTGCAAATGTACCATCATCGGAACCTTTTTTTCGAACGACGTGATTATGTACGACGAAATCTGGGCTCTAGTCGGATTGCAGTAAAAGAGAACCGACCAGGGTTAGGATATAGGAAGCCAGAGGCTGATTCATGATAAGGTTAAGCTCCTCGTGGTCAATAAACACCCACTGGATTGAGGTATGGTGAATTCTCAGGACTACTTCGTTGACTGTGGTTTAGTTCACCAATGTACGCTTTCTCTCAAAGAATTTGCTAACTACTCTCATTGATAATCCGTTTCGAATCCGAACCCTGTTATAACAATGATTGCTGTGAAATGAGCATAATATCTTCTGACATTGTTCAAATAGTTTATCGCAGTCATTAATCAGTCATTCATACAACCTCAATGCTTAGAAAGAAGTTGATAAAGAGATAAATTTGGTTGGTTCTCCGACATCCTTCTTACTTCAACTCCATATTTTTCAATAATTTTCCATCGTTTCAAAGTCCTTAGAAACTCAAACTTAGATGTGAAATTGCATGAGTATACAGAACTTCAACTACTTCACTCTCTTTCCTTTCTCCGCCTTTTCTCATCTTCTCTATCTTTGAATTATCATTTGTTTCCCAACTGAATATAAAAAGCGTTGGATTTTTCCTTTAATTTCTCGAATTCCTTCGGCTTGGTGTTTAGGTTGTGTTCTCGTTCAGGTACCTAAGTTGTCTGATGACATGCCAACATCTGAGTTAGGTAATTGACATTGGCGCTTCATTTAGAAATTAACTGCTGTATTAGCAGCTGAGCTGAGATTATTGCTGATGAGTTGGACAGAAGCAAACAACACTATATGAATAGAGAAAGGCCAATCGATGCTGATGTGCACAATTGAATGCGAATTGTCGCAATAAAGCCATACCGAATACGTGATTGTGACATAGAACTGAAGCAGAACCGAAACGAAACAGAACGACGAAATGAAGTAGCGCTAGTCTTTCGTCAGCAAGTGAGTCGTGTTGAAATGAATTCCTCAGAATTATCTGGATCCAACAAGTGGTATGCATTGTCTTCGTTGAAAAGAATATCCACACATCGATCCAGACGTCATTTGGAGTCCCGTGATTCTTGTTCCTTAGGTTCTACAGATCTTTTAAATTTATCCAAAATGAATACAGGGTCGGGGAGCTCATTGAACCCATGCCATGTTGGGCTCTGATCACTAACCAACCAATGAGTTCAGTTTATAAGTGAAAGGAAGGAAACAACAGCACTCTCAAACTTCTAAGGGAAGCGCAAAACGATGCATATATTAATCAACGGTCAAAATAAGAGCGATTAGTTAATTTTAATAACTCAATTGTTAAGGAACTAGTAAACCTTCTGTGGCAGAGCTGCTTGCCTACACATAAGCGTATTCACTAATTCTAGTTGCTCCTCTTTCTACCAGTAGTGAAATGTCGATGAGTCGTGCATCCTTTGAACTTTACAAAATATCTCTGGTACGTAGCAAAGTTACTTCTATTGACGGCAGAGTTTACAAATGCGGTAGCCGAGCATAGCAGCGATATCGACATGCAGCGCCTTGCTTTTGTACAGGGACAAATAATAAACTTTTTTGTCTTACTCCCTTTTCAAAGAAGACTACTAAGCCTTTTAAGAACAGCAGACTTATTTTGTCTACTTTTACTGCCGATGTACTCCATATGTGATATAAGCATAAAAAAATGGCTGCTAAAACTACGTTCTGAGTAACTCCTACGTCCGACTTTCTATTAACCTCGGCATTGATTGAACAATTCTTTCCATTTCTGTTCAGCAAACACGAGGTGCTATTCCACTTCCCCACTCACGTAAAAGCTGACGTTTCGGCGGATTTCGACTTCCTCAGAGCCGCTTTCTATGAGTCTTCCACTGAGTATGTCGTGTGAAGAGCAACCACACAGAACTCACATGGAAGCGTAATGTGCCCAGCGTAGCGTAGCGTATTATCAAGTGTTAGAGTCCGAAAGACTCATAGAAAGCGGCTCTGAGGAAGGCTAAATCCGCCGAAACGTCAGTTTTTACGTGAGTGGGAAAGAGGAATAGCACCTCGTGTTTGCTGAACAGAAGTGGAAAGAATTGTACATTCTGAGTAGTTTGACATGAAAACCTGTGTGAGCTACACAGTACCTAGTCAAGAGGCTATTGCCCTTCTAAACAGCAACTTTTCATAAGTGGTCTATTAAAAGGACTACTGACTGGATTTATGAGACAATAGAACGAAAACTTCGAACAATTCCCAGCAGCTTCGTATTCTACATGGAAAAAAGA